ATATTTCCATTCTTCCCCTTCACATATTTTTTTGCTAATTGGCACGTTTTGTACGTCAGACTTATTTCTTCCATACTGCGTACGGAAATAAATATAAGTGTTCACGCGTATTTATGTATCCACGTATTAAGCATTAGTATGCACGTAGGTAATCTTAATTTTTACATTTCAAAAAAAGTAATTTTTTTCATCAAGTTCTTAGATTTGCATACAACTACTTATGCAAATTTTTCGTTCTTCTTTCTATGTGACAAAATAAGCTTGAAGTTATATGTATATCATCTGATTATTCTTAGAGTTTTTGACTATATATTAGGTAATTTATTAACTTTGCTATAATTTTGCATGCATTTTTGACAAAAGTTAGCATAAATTGAAATAAGTATATCGTTATAAAAAATAAGTATTTAATTTTGTACTGTGTGGAAATTCGATTTGAAATCAGCACACAAAAAGAGTGTGTCTCCATGTATAATAAAAAACAAACTGGTATTATGTTTTTATATAAAATAATTGTAATTATTTTATATCAAATTTTTAAACATCTTCATACAATCTATGATACCATTACAGTTTTGATTGTTTTTTTAATACTGTTTTGTAACTATTTGCTCCTAAAAATAATAATAATATTATTATTACTGTAGTCAGAGTTATAAAAATTTTACAGTAATAGTTCATATATTAATAAGATATAATTTGTTCATTTGAAAGGATATTTGAAATATTTTATTTAATATAACGCCTGAAAAATGATAATTGTTGTGGCACATGTCAAAATATCTGCGAATAATATCTGCATCAATAACATTCAAGTAATCATTAATAAATGGATGCATAACTAATTATTGTCATGAATAAATATTTTACGAAAGTTCTCTCAATTTTATGCAGTTTTGTCCGTTTATTATTCGATAATTGCAGCAATTTGTACGAGTATTTTTGTTCTGTTACTAATAATGCCTAACAATTGTAAAGAAAGTTAGGCATTTCATTATTAGTACAATTTTCATTTATAATAACGGGGATATTTTCCATAACTTATTGATTTTCTCTGAAATTATTTATTTTAAAGATTTTCCAGAAGCAAAGCATTACTACTTGAGTCATTTATCGCTTAATACAAATTTAAATTGATCAAATCTAAAATTTCATGAATATTGATCAAAATCCATGAAATTAACTTTAATCAGTTATTTTTTACTATAATTTTTTTTAATAGTAAAATTTTACTCTAACAAAACTGGTTGTTTTCCTTTGCTGGTACTGTAAGTATTTGTAGTATATTATGCTAATTTGTAGACTTGATTTGTTTTATCATTTAATTTGAAAATATCAGCTTTGATTTTGTTTTATCATTTAAATTGCAGCTATTTTATTGATTTAAAAAATAGAAAAATTGATTAAATTGGATTTGAGATATTAAAAAAGTTTGATTAGTTAATAATAATAATTCGGCATTTCAAAAATAAAGAGCAAAACATTTTGCCAAATTAATAGTCATTAATTGCAAAGTTTTATTGGTCACTGAGGAGGGATATTGAAAAAGTATAATGATGCCATCATGATACTTAATTGTACACTGACAAAAATTTCATCAAAGTACAACTAAGTACCGTGTATCTACAAAAAACAATATTTCTGAAGTACAATATCACTAATTGTACTTCAGAAATAATGTTTTAGAAAAAACAGTAATTTATTAAAGGTTATTAGGTCAAACAAATGTAACTGCTGTACGTTTGGTGTAACGGATATTTGTCGATTTCATATTTTTTGCACTCATTACTTCTACTATCTACTAAACAACATTATATTTTTTGCAGTGTATGCGCAGAATACTTCAACTTATCTGATAACGTCTATTTTTTGAATATTCTTATAAAAGTTTAAAAAACAATATTAAGCTTGAACTGTGGTACATTTTTTGCAGTGATTTTCATTAATTTTTATCACTGAAACTGTCTGATTTTGTTTTGAATTCTGTCAGTAATGATAATTAAATTAAAAATTCTCATTAATAATTAAAAATTTACTCTTATAGTGCTATAAAGTTTCAAGTATTGGTATATTGATTTCAATACTTTTAAATTATTATCGTTTAAGTGTGAATTACTTTAGTACTACTAATTATGATTAGAATAAAATCAGTTAATTTTAATTGTTGTTTGTAGCGAAGAAAATATTAAAATATAATTAGAAAAGAAAATTTCGGAAAATTTGTTTGCTTATTTTTTCATTATTTCTTAAAATACAACTAAAAGTACAGTGCTCAAATTGAGGATATTTACAACTGAATTGAGTAAATATAATAATAGTACTCAAATGCTAGTGCAAACTTGTATAAGCTAGTATTTCTCTGCGAAAAATCAGTTAGTTTCGTTAAATATTAACGATTATTTTCTCGATTTTTGCGACTACTTTTAC